TCCCTACCCATGCCCTGTATAGCCGCATAATTTGCAAGCTCTTGCGCTAGCCCTGTGTATGTTTAAACTTATGTAAAATGAGAATTCTTTGCAAAAAAGAGCGATAATTGGAGTTTAGAAACTACACTATTTTAAAACGCATGCTGCATTTACCCCAAACGTGAGGACTATGAGTTAATAAAATATTTCTTTTGAACATATTTTACTAAGTTTAAACCAATCCACAGGTTTTAAATCGAATAACAAACTGAAATTATATGGCCATAATTTTAAAAGACTAAAAAGTGATCAAAGTTATCAAGTGAAATTAAACGTCAAATTAACTTGTCGATGAATTTAAGTGTTTTATAGAAGCAAAATTAAATTTTAATTTTCACATTTTAGTTTGACGAAGATTTTTAATATTTTTGTTCGCTCCGAAATGGCAGTTTTTTGCATAACATTTCACATAAATAAGCATTTTCAACTTTGGAGTTTGCACAATGCCTGAAAGTCTAAAACATGAAATTTTTCCCTGGATCTTTTGTTTAGCTTAATCAAATTCATTTTTTGATCTAAAAAAAGAGGTTCTCGCCCCAAAAGCCTCAAATTTTATGAATAACCCGGAATTATTACGTTTATAAATTTTTCAGAAAAGTAATTGAAATGGCAAAAAAGTTTTTTGCCATTTCAATTACTTTTCTGAAAAATAGTGCGTTGTTATCAAAATTTGCACTGTTTTAAAATGGCTGTTGCTTATAATTTAAAAAGTGCTAATGATCGCAAAAGCATCAAGTTTTGAGACTGAGTACAATTTCTTCCGCTAAATATAACAGTACAAAAATTCGGAACCATTTTGCCGATAAAACCTTAGAAAATCAAAAGTTGGTTGATAAAACTTTGAAAAATCACAAGTTGATCAATAAAATTTTGGAAAAAAACAGGTTAGCCGATAAAACTTTTGAAAAAACTAGTGCATTGTTACAATACCGTGAAAATATGCCGCAGTCTATCAAGCAACCATACCAAAAATTATTGCTTTATCTTGTCTTTTTATTTTTTTAATTTTTTCTTATCAGTCTTTTTTTTTTTGATTCTGTAGTCTAATACCTAAATGCTTTAGGAAATAACAGACATATTTTAACATTTCTTTTGAAATTTTTGATTTGAAATCCTTTATATTGACTATTGGTAAGAATATTATTAAATATATATATATATATATATATATATATATATATATATATATATATATATATATATATATATATATATATATATATATATATATATATATATATATACTCTTTTTTTACAAACTTACGAAAGCATAAAAAACATTTCTTCTAGTTAATTTGTAGATATTTTCTTATGCTGTGATGTTTTCTATGCTGTGTTTTAAGAAAATACTAATAATTAAATGTCTAGATTTTAATTGGATTAATAAATCTAGATTTTAATTGATAGTATTTTTGCCGGATTTATAAACAGATATTTTATATTTCTGTATTAAAAATATGACTAGATGTTTTTAAATCCAGTAAAAATGCTACAAAACAAAATAAAATCCTGGAGATGTTTTTAAATCTAACAAAAATGCTACAAAACAAAATAAAATCCTGGAGATGTTTTTAAATCCAGCAAAAATGGTACAAAACAAAATAAAATCCTGGAGAAGTTTAATATTTTTCTTGTCGAAAAAATATTCTTTAAAAACGTAACAGATAGTAGAGATTGTCTTTAATATTAAAACTACTACTAAATATTAAACTTCTTTAACATTTAACAGTTGTCATAACGTAATGTTTTACGTATCTTTTTTGAGCTCCTCTCTACTTTAACTTCATTTTAAATATTATGTAATTTTCAGTATTTATTTATGTATTTTCTTTTATTGTATACGTATTTAACGTGCATTGTGAAAATAATATTTAAACCACGTTAAACAGAAAAAAAAAACAAAAAAAAACCTACTATCGAATATATAAAAAACGATTTCTTTACCTAGATCATTACTTTATCTGGATAATTTGAACAGTTGTTAAATATTTATCAAGTAGCTTTTAAAAAATCATTTAGAGCTTTCAAAGCTTACAAATTAAATTTCTTTTTTTACAACAAAACACTATTTTGATTTCCCGCTAGAATAGTTAGACTACAAAGACTGAAACACGATTTAAAACGCGCGCGCGCGTGTGTGTGTGTAATAACAATTTTCACATTACAATAATATTTTGTGAGTTTGGCAACAACGGTGCCCTATTCGTGAAATAAGCAAAATTTTGCCAAACTCAATAATTCGGCAAGCTTGCGAATTCAGCGTAACATATTCACTCTGAATAATGTTGACCTTGTCAAATGCGCTGAAGCTCATAAATGCTATGATAATTTACGAAAGCTCGCCAAATTTTGGAGTCTCTTACAATTTTAGCAATTTTAGAAGCGCACCTGTAGAGCGCTCGCTTGAAAAGCATTAGGTCCCGAGTTCGTGGATCGAACTCGAGACTTCTCGCTTATGAATTGGGAAGTCATGTTTTTGATAATCCCGCACTTATCTCGTTTTTTCAATGACCTTGTTCATCAAAGTTTGTATTTCGGAGTTATAGAGTTGAGAAAAGTTTGCAAACATAATAATAATAAAAAAACAATAACAATAACAAAAAAGCTTTCTCATCTGTAGTTGCCACCGCGGCCTTTAGAGATGAATATTAAAAAAAAAAAAGCAACTGCAAAAATAACTGCTGATAGTATCAACAACTTTCTTTAAAATAATAAAATTTTATAATAATGTTTTTCTATGATTACAATCATTCTTCTTGTTTTCTTTTTGTTTTTCATTTTTATGGAGTTCTTTTTGTTTTTCATTTTTATGAAGTTTTATGGAGTAGATAAGTTTAATTTTATGTGTTTAATTATTATTTACTTTTATATTGATTAAATTTTTTATAAATAAAACTTAAATCATAACAATGTTGGTTTTGTTAAACAAATAATAATAATAAATAATAAATATTGGTTTTTCTATAAATGCATGCAGATATAAATAGTAATGGATTTTATACGAGATTTTATTTTTTTTAAAAAAAAAAGAATGAAAACTACAATTTTTCGAAGAAAAAAAAAAAAGAAAAAATGGAAAATGAATATTTTTCAAGATAAATTGTTGAATAATTTCAACTTTTCATAAAATTATAAAGTTTGTAAGGGTTATTTAAAAATTTCATTTGAGAGAAAGATCGTCGTTTAATATCGTAGCTATCATGCGTACGTTTTAAGGCAAAAATTATTTCAGCCACGCGGACAATTGGAATCGTTTGAAAGAAAGGTATAGTTAACATATAACATTGTTATCTTTTTAGTAAAATTAATTTGATGATTTAAAAAAACACATCTGGTTTTTTTTTTTTTTTCTTAATTTTTTTTTTTTTAGTTTTTTTTTTTTTTTTTTACAAAACGTTTTGAAATTGTTTAGCTCAATCTATTGGCAATGTCAGTAGGTGGTTAAAAAGATAAAACTTTAATTAAAAAAAAAAAAATTGTCATAGAGACAGCATAAGATTCGCAATAACGTTCAATTACTTTCAAAATGTTTAACAATAAAATAAAACTTCGCCCACAATCTCATTTACAAATAAACGCAAAATAAATAGCAATACAAAAAAAAAATTAATCTCGTACAAATGCTTTCCTTCTTTTGTTTTTCTCTATTGTTTTTACAAATTGTATTTAAAAATAATAATAAAATTACAAAAATGCAAAAAAGCGATGCTAACGCTAGTGCAATTTTTAATAAATACGCTTTTGACTTGTATTTGCCTGACTTTAGAATTTCTCTAACTGTTAGTACTAACTGTTTGTTTCCTATTTTTCAAATTTTACATTATAAACTTTACACTATCTTTGTTTTCTAACAATTACTCTCGGTTAGTGATTACTGTTTATGAAACTCAATTTAGAGTTGAATCGATTTTGGTATGTGGTACTAGTAAAAACAATAAACTACAGAGTACTAAACCGTAATACTATATCATTTTAAGATCTTTAAGGAAACAATTTTCATATTCATATAAGTTGTAAAAACGTGTGTACATATAAATAAATAGATTTTTTTTATATTTGTATAAGATATAACCCTATTTATATAACCTTACTTATTTATTATTATACTATTTATACAACCCTATTTATACAAATAAACAGGGTTTATTTATATTATTTAACAGAGCATTATATATATATATATATATATATATATATATATATATATATATATATATATATATATATATATATATATATATATATATATTATAATCAAAGAAAATACAACTATAATTTACACATATGTATGTGTAAATTATACACACACACACACACACACACACACACACACACACACACACACACACACACACACACACACACACATATATCAGGCCCTTAGCAACCCCAATAAGCCCTCCCTTCCCTAATAATTTTTCAAATAAATAATTTTGAAGAAATTGACTGAAATAATGACTAAAAAAAATAAATCCTTAAAACTATTTCGGGGTAGTACTGCCCTTCCCCCCCCCCCCCCAATATAGTTTTTGTTCCTACGGCCCTATATATATATATATATATATATATATATATATATATATATATATATATATATATATATATATATATATATATATATATATATATATATATATATATATATATATATATAACATAAACTGTAAACATTTTATAGAATTTTTTATCCTTGTGAAGAAAATTGTCAGGGTATCTTCTGCTTTTCTGGGTATCCTGTCTTTCTAAACTATAATAAATTGCGGTAAATTTATATAAAAAATTATACGGTTGCAAATGTTTATCTTTTGATAAATACGCACTTTTTCTGAATCGTTGAGTTTTGTACTCACACGTTGGGTGTGAAAACTGTATATGGAGTCTGGTTTATAACACGATATAACCGTTTATTTATTGATATTAAGCTCAATTATCTAAGTACACCAACTTAGTGTTAAAGACAGCGAAAAACAGTTTTGGACAAGCGCTTTAAGATTTAAAAAAGTGTAAAAATTTGTGGCTTCGTTTATGTTAACGCTTTAATGCATTATAGTACATAAAGAAAAGTTGTTCATTATATAAAGAAATGACTTCTGTTAAAATTAATGAAGAAACTATGAAAGGCTTCAACAGACGTGGAGCGATTAGAGAAAAAAATGTTTTTGAAGTAAAAGATCATAAGTTTGTGCCCAAGTTTTTCACATCTCCTACTTTTTGCGCACACTGCAAAGACTTCATTTGGTAATTAAAAATTTATAGTAGCTAATTATATATATATATATATATATATATATATATATATATATATATATATATATATATATATATATATATATATATATATATATATATATATATATATATATATATGTATATATATATATATATATATATATGTATATATATATATATATATATATATATATATATATATATATATATATATATATATATATATATATATATATATATATATATATATATATATATATATATATATATATATATATATATATATGATTTAAATGTTGACATCTTGTACGAGAGTAAATATATATATATATATAAACTAATTTAAAGCATTAGATAATACGAATTCTCTCAATACTAAACAATTTATTTGAAATTTTTAACAATAATATATATATATATATATATATATATTATTATTATTATTATTATTATTATTATTATTATTATTATTATTATTATCATTATTATTACTATTATTGGTAAAGCTGCAGTTAAGTGGTCTAAAATAATTTATTTTTTTGCTTGAAAAGTCTTTACTAACGAGAAAAGTTTCTACTAATAATAGCATTTTATTTTAAAAGTTTTTACTAATAATAGCATATTTAAAAGTTTATACATATTGTTTAAGAATTGATAGTTCATATTAAATAGATTTATTCTAACCAGTGTTTATTGGTAAGTCCAAAAAGACTCAGACCTAACTTTAAAAAAGTTAACTTATAAAGGGGATTATTTAATTGTTTTATGGTTTTCTATTGTAGGAAAATATACAAATGTCTTTGTATAGGCAAACTGGAGATAAAAGTTTTGGATCATTGAATTAACTAGAAATATAAATGATCTTTTATCATGCCAATGATTTTATTTTCAATATTATCTTAAGTATTTAAATGTATATGTATAGATTTAAATTTCATTCAAAAAAGATATCTTATGCAAATAGAGTTTAGACTTTTTAGAGTGTTAGATAAAGTTTGTTATATTTATTAAATAAAATAATTAATCTGTTATTAAATTTATTTAATTACAGACTTGTTATTTTATGATCAAAAATGCATGGCTATATGTTTATTTGTGAAAAATAGTGGAACAATTGCTCTTCAAAAAGCATTCAAGGACATTTGCTGTTTGAATGAGACTGAATTTATGGCAAAAGTGGTGGTGTTTTCATATTTGTCAAAGACTCAATAAAATCTTTTAAAGTTTCAAATGATGTGCTAAAAAGCCAACAAATCAAACAAATATAGTGTACCATAGAAGTTGGAAATGAGTCAATACTATGTGGTTGCATGTACTGTCCTGGAATAAATGACAATCAAAATTGTATGAAAATTACAAGTTCAATTAAAGTAGCACATGAAATGATTTTAAATAAAATATATAGTGGCATTCTTTTAAATGAGGATTTTAACTCGGCAAAAATTTAATGGAGTGACAATGCGTTGCCTTTCTAGTAGAACCAAATGAAATAGGTAGTATGTTCATGGATTTCTTAGACAAATGTTATATATTTCAAATTATAAATAAGCCAACATTTCAATTGTATGATAAAACTGAAACTAATGTCTTAGATTTAGTAATAACCAAAAATAATTTGCGAATATGTAAGTTAGTACATCATCTACCATTAGGATCGATTAAACATGGTCATCACATTTTAACCTATTGTTACAACTACAGTTCATCTAAAGAATTTGCTGCTGAGTTCAACAAAAAAATTATATTTATAATAAAGAAAACTATAATGAAATTAACAAACGCTTTGATAGTGTTGACTAGTCAAAGATATTTATAATATCAAACGCCAACAAGTGTTACAAAAAATGGTTTGAACAATATAAAAACACCTAAAATTTATACCATTATCAAAATCAAATAAAAGGAAAAAAGCGCCTTGATTTAATAAAAACCTATCTACATTGATTAAAACAATAAATGTGTGAAATGTACAAAAAATGCAAAATTCAGAGATCAAGAACTTGAGACATAATATAAATACATCAAAAACAAAACAAAAAAGGCTTTTAAAAATGCAATTGATAAATATGAGCACAAAAAAGTGAAAAATACTAAGAATCCCAAAATAGTTTACCAATATATAAATAATAAAACTCAAATTAAAGACTATATTTGAGCTCTTGAGAATAAAAATGGAATAATTACTACCAATTTATCTGAAATTGCTCACGAACTAAACAATTTTTTCAGCACAGTTTTTACTATTAACGATGAAAACCTGCCTGAGTTTCCAAATTAAAGCAATATTTTTTGCCCAAATCCGACATTCAATTTTGAAACAGTTAGTAAGAAATGCAACTCTAAATGTTTATAAATTGCAACTCTAAATGTTTATAAATCAACTGGAGTAGACACAGTACACTATAGAGTACTAAAAGAATGTTGCAAAAGTATTTCAAAACACTATCAATTATTTTTGATTGCTCATTCTTGAATGGCATTGTTCCATGTTTATGGTTATGTGCAAATATTACCCCTCTGTTTAAAAAAGAAAATAAACTAAAACTAACAAATTATAGCCTCGTATCGCTCACATCGATAATATGCAAAATAATGGAAAGCATAATAAGAGACATACTAATGAATCACTTGACTAAGAACAGATTACTCTCAGACTTAAAATATTAGTATTAAAACTGGAATTATATGGAATTCAATTTAATTGGTTTAAGAGGTGATATGATTCAATATTATAAAATAAGTAAAAATATATAAAGTTCAATGGAATCATCCTACTAGAATAATTAAATATATAATAACAAGAGGTCATTTCTTCACAAACAGAGCAGTTAATAATTGGAATAATTTAAAAGAAAAGGTCAATCAATTCTGACGATGTAAATATCTTCAAAAACGAGTTTGATTGTTTTAAAAGTAAACATAACAAAATATAAAATATAAAATACTTTAACAGCCTTTGCAAAAGTTTTTTTTTTCTTCCAAAAATTTAAAGATTTTTGAAAGAAAAAAAAACTTTTGCAAAGGCTGTCATTTTAACATCTACAGGTGTTAGACTTATCATATTACGTTGTATGTGTACAGCAAAAAATTTATTATTATTATATTATTGTAATTTTCTTATTTAAATCTAAATTCTACAATTTTGCCTATACTAAATTATTGATGTCATGTTTAAAAATACGATAAGTCACCAGAATTGGTTTCTATCATCAACAAATATCAGCACTAAAGCAAAAACTAACTATGGAAAGTTATTAGTTTAAGTTAGGAATTATTAGGGGTTGAGAATTGGGTTGAAAATCCTTCAGAGACGTTACTCTGATATGAACGTTTCTTCAATAATTTTCTTTCAATGATCTTTAAAAGTAAGATGGTTTCGAATTGTAAATTTTATAGTTTATCTTATTGGCATTTAACCTGTTTCAAAAGCACTCAATACATCAATTTTTTGTTGGTATTTTTTTTTTCATAGCTCTGATTTATTTATATTCATTGATAATAAATTTTATAAACAAGTATACTCTAATAAATCTATGCCAAAGTTCATGAATCAAGCAATACCTATTGAAATTTAATAAGAGTATTCAGTGTAGTTAAGGCACTTTTAAAATATTAGAGCGTTTGTATGATATTTTGTTGACATTTTTCCATTAAATAGTCTGGTCTGTGAATTATGACAAGACGAAAAACTTAAAATAATAAATTTTGCGGCATCATAAAATATAAATGTTTGTAGCGAAAAAACCCAGACCCATATTTCTTAAGAGCTCAAAAAAAAAATCATCTTAAAATCATCTTAAATTCTTGGTTGAAATTCTAGTATTTTTTGTGAAAATTGATAGAAATATTGTGTTTTGACAACTATATATAGTTAATATATGTCAGAACCAATTAGAACTAGGATCAGTAGTAAATAAAGAAACTTTTTCAAAAGATTTTAACTAAGTTCATGTTAATGCTGATGAGCGGAATTGATCTAAAGACTCCAAAATAGTGTTCTTTAGATACACTATTACGGTTAGTAAAAAGTTTTTAAAAATTATATAAAAAAAGAATAGTTTCTTTAAATATTATAAAAACTTTAAGCAAAAAAAGTTATAGCATTTAAAGACCTTGTTTGGACATAATATTCTGACAAAACCATGCTAATTCCAAATAAAAGTATTCGAATATTTTGTAAATCGCCTTAACTACACCGAGTACCAATAGTTTTCAAAGACCTTGGTTTTTGAAAAAAATGGCTTTTCATTTTTTTTTATTGCCACTAGTACTAGTTTTAGAAGCAAATAATTTTTTTAAATAAAAAAAATCATTGTATAGGATGTTTACTAATGGAAAATGTGGTCCTTTGTTTGTAAATTTTGATTTTAAAAGTGGTCTCTTAGTTGATGGTGAAAACTCAATCAAATTTGATCTCTTAGTTAATATTGAAAATCAAAACTCCATCTTTTGTTGCTATTAGTTACTTCAATATTTTTATTCTCTACTGGTCTTTTATAGAAAGCATAAAAGTATATACAGGCCATGCTTTAAATAAAAAAATGCTTAACTCTTTAGCCTAATGTGAATTTGACTTCATAAATCTTTATTTTTTTATTTTTTAATGACATCAACTTTTTTAAACTACTGCAATATTATTAATTACTGTAAAACGAGTTAAATAAATGTTAAACAAATGTAGAAAATGCTATTATGGAATGTTTGTTTTCTTTCAAATTTTTTTTATTAATTAACTAAATTTAATATTATATTTTTCAAAGTATTTGATGTAAACAAGTTTGTATAAATATCAAGAAAAGAAATTTGAAAACTCAATTTTTTTCAGCTAATCGTTATCTCAATAGTCTGGATCTCCCTATATTTATAAATTGTAATGTACTTGATAAGTCATATACCCTTTTTATCTAGAATTAACTCTTCTGATTTTTCTTAGAATCTATATATCAAATCAATTGCAAAAATAGCATCTGCTAAGGTTGCATCTCTTTATCTTGCTCATCACTTTTTTA